GTTGTCTGAGCAGGTGGGATCTGCAGATGGAGAAAGGGACGTTCCAAATTGGAGGAAATATCCTTCAGCTGCCGAGTATGCTCAGCCATGCTGTCCTCTAGACTGGTGATCCTGGCATCCCGGTTAGTAAAATAGGACTCATGAATTTTGTCATGTAGAGGGACGAATTCAGCTATATCCTTATTGTACTGGATGAAGCTGCCACTAGTCCTAACCTTCTCCACGTCAGCTGTCAGTTCCCGCCTTCTTGTTTCTTTTCTGGCAGATTCCTCCTTTCTCTTTAGCTCAGCCTTTAGGGGCTCAACTGCCTTCTTGTTTCTTTTCTGGCAGATTCCTCCTTTCTCTTAGTTGAGTATCTCCTCCTAGGTCCGCAGTTCGGCCTCTAGAGGGCCACGCAGAACCGGCGTCTTGGGCGGTACCTGGGGCTTCACTTTAGAAGTCTCTCCCTTCTTAGGCACTTCGCCCTTCTCAGAATCGACCATTTTGTTGCCCACAATTCAGATAAATAAAAATAAACAAATAATCAGATATAAGGCAGGACGGACAGACTCGAAGTTATGATTGACCCTAGTCTAGCCAAGCTTTAGCTATGTCAGCGCAAAATTCAAATTTGCATTATTACGAACAACAGGATCCTGAGTGCACCAATTCACTACACAATATAAATCGCAATACTGTAAAGCAGTCACAAATGAAATATGAGTCACGAAGAAGGTCAAGCAGGGTTAGCAGAAGTCAAAGAAGATAGGTAGGGGAAGTTGGATATGGCTGTCTCACAGTCTGAAATTCGATTTTCAACTGTACACTGCCAGACAGACCAAATTTCGCTATTCTAAAAATAGCCCCTGAATCGCCACACAGGGTCGAATAAGGAACACACTTACTTCAGGGTCAACTCTAAAGAGGATGCATGAAACTCTGGCTATGGCTGACTGGTCAAGTCCTTCTCGCCAGTTTCACCTCCTGACAGTATCTTGTGTTCCCACGGAGCAAATTGCTTGAAGCTCGGTGATCCAATAGATTACCCTGAGGCGCTNGCCAGTTTCACCTCCTGACAGTATCTTGTGTTCCCACGGAGCAAATTGCTTGAAGCTCGGTGATCCAATAGATTACCCTGAGGCGCTTCACCCCCGACTGGCAGATTCAATGACTTTGCACTCCCAGCTGCCAATAACTTACAAAGTCAGTGCAGCGCCACATCACCCTGTACTGCGCTGCTTGGAAATTGGGGATCCTGACCCAATTCCAAAATCGCAACCTCCTAGGATCACTTCCTTGCCAATCGCCAACCTCCAGATGAATCGCCTGGCTAAAATAGCCTCCCAAAGCCTCTCAGGCCTCTGAGCTCCAATCGCCAACCACTCCTGCATAACCCTAGTCAGGAGTGAGTCACCCTCTGTCCAATTCTTCTCTCCAAACACTCACTACCACCACCCTTACTGACAACAACCCTGAAGATGATGAATCGCCATGAGACTCAACTCCAGTATCTCGCTAGATGATGATGGTTGCTCCAACTCATCAATCGCTCCAGAGTCTGGATCCAATCGTTCCGATACCAACTGTTATGATTCTGGTTGTTTGTTGTCTGAAGACCAACACTCACTCACATAGACTTCCAGGTATGCCCATACATACATAGAAGGAAGGGGAGAGGATAGGTGTATCACACTGCATAGGGAGAGATAAACACAGCGGAAGACTTGACCATGCGATATGACGGGGTACACAGGAAGTGCAATCCTCACAACCAATCATAAAGAAAAGCCGAGCAGATCACATCCAGGAAACAATAAAACGACGATAGTCCAAACACAGTATCACACTATATATTAAACTTATAGTCTCAAATTGTCAGGATAATCTCAGTACTACAGTGCGATGCTCAGAAATGAGCAGCGCTTCGCTCCCCAACCCTGAGTAACCACCCGTGACACCCTTGAGCCCCCGAAACATCCAGCGCCACCCAGATACAGCTTCCCAAGGGAAGCGCCACCCTGAAATAGGCCTCTGAGGCCAAGTGCCACTCAGAGGATGAAGAAGAAGACAAGTGCCACAATATCTGATGATGACGAAGTGTCCGAAGCAGCAGCGCCACCAAACCCTGGCAAGATGACCTTTGAGGAAGAAGCTGCAGCTATGGCTGCAGCGCCACAACCCTGGAACCCCACTCTGGAGGAGGGTCCAGCAGGGCACCAACTTCTCGCGCCTCCAGCAGACCTCGATAACCCAAACCTCTGACAGCCCCTACGTGCTGGCAGAGTACAACGCAGGTCCCAGCTATGGCTGACACTCCGAAGGTCTGGCTATGCCTCTCTCCTTCCACGCTGAGCCGTCACCACTTCCGGTTCACGCGTAGCACAGCAGCGATGTACTCGGTACCAATTGCCAAAAGTCCTGAACCGATGTGCCCATCTATCTATAGACTAAAACTAGCCTAGACTCGACCTAGACCAGACTGACTGACCGACCGGTACCGTATCAGTTTCGGCCTCTCGGCCTCTACCTTACCTGGCTATAGGCTATAGGATCGTCTTTCAGCATAGGCCCTTAGGGCCTATCTATCCTAGGGGTAGCCCGGGCCTGCTATTCGCAGTTAGGTTAGCTGTAGGAAATTCAATTAGTAAGGGTCTGTACTTACCCGTATTTACAGATATGTCCCTCACGAATTTTCCTTACAGGCAGGTCACTCGGTTAACCCTCAACCAGAAAAAATTACGAATTTGTCCTACCTATAGTACAACCTCGACAAAGAGAGGCTACAGGCGACCAGAAAGCAAAAAGTCATTGTAGTCTGCCATCTGAAGGTTACCCAATCTCGAGGTCGGTAAGACAAGGCGATCCACTAGCACCACCTATTTTCTTATTCGTTATGGAAGCCATAGCTTCTTTGCTCCGTAAAGACCCTTCTATCCAAAGACTGCCTGAAATGAATGTGGGCTCCTCACACCATGTCGTATTTCCTACAATAATCATGTTCGCGGATGACTTAACGGTGCTGATACGGGCCTCCAATTCGTCCATGGCAGCCTTATTCAGAGCAATGGAAGCATTTAGACTAGCATCAAAAATGAAGATTAATTGGGTAAAGACTATAGGGTGGTGGCTATCCGACGAACCCATCCCGCAACTTCAAGGTCCAGAGAATCAGATGTCTTGGGAGAAACCGGAGGAACCAACGAGATATTTGGGGATTCAAGTGACAAAAGACGGCCCCGCTCCCAGATGGCACGAAATCTTCTAGCCGGTCAAATCAACAAAATGGGGAAGTGGAATCAAGCATTTACATCACTATTGGGGAGGGCACTTGCGATTAACACCTCCATATTCTCAATGATGTGGTAAATAGCCTCAACTTGGACTATACCAAACCAGACCATCAAAGACCTAAACAAGAAAGCCAGAGCCTACTTATGGGCAGGGAACCCTAACAAAGAGAACTACATTCCAAAGATAGCCTGGCACTATATCACAAGGAAACCATCACAGGGGGGACGAGGCACTATTGACCCCAAACAAGAAACGAAAGCCCTGGAAGTGGGTCATTAAGCTACTGACCAAACAATGGAACAAATTAGCACAAGACAGCATCAGAAATCTGGCCCCAACGGGGTCCCCCACTAACATGTCCGGACTGTTCTGGGTCATGAACAAAGACTAGAATCCAAGATCAGTGAGGAGAAGACAAAGAAGCCGCGTCCCCCCAATTTCGCACCAGACACCTCCCCCCTATTGGACGACCCTTACATGTATCTGGAGAGAGATCATGCCCGAGAAACGAAACAAACCCAGGTCCAAAGAGGAAGTGCTCATGCAGCCTCTCTTTGGGAACCCTTGGATCAGAGGTGAGGGAGACCACCCATGGGCATTCTCCGCCAGAGGCAAAAAATGGCTATCGTGGATCACACAGGGGTCTGGCGAGTATGGGACATCTGGAATGAGGAAAGGAAAAACTGGTCGGACAAAAACGAGATCAGAGCTCGACTGAAAGGCTGCCACCATAAGGAAGAAAACCTGCAAAAGATTATACAGAGCATCCCTGGGGTCTCGGTTGAGTTACTAAAGGAGAAATTCACGTGGAAAGCAGGTGCATGGGGAATCTTAATCCAAGACACCTCCCATGAGAGGGCTTACCAATTTTCCCATCGAATTTCAGGTTCAGGTCCAAGAGATGTCTTCACATCCTTTCCGATCCTGGAGACCAAGCCTGATGATTTGCACATCCAGAATATCAACCCAGAAAGAGTAGTGCTGAATGCGTTTACGCTCCGTAAAATAAGAGTTGTAGGACTCTGGCCAAAACAGATATTTCAAATAAGGACAGCAATTCAAGACCTCGAGTTTGACCCCTCAGAATGGGCTTGGCCCTCCGACCAAAACAGAGCTACTAAACCACCAATCCCAATTTCTGATTACACAGTTAAGCTAGGTTATAAAATGTTGGGTTAGACCGACACCCGATCCAGACGGACCGGGCCTGACGAACCGGGGGGAGCCGTCCGGCAAAACCAGACGAGCCAAAACAAATATTTCAAATAAGGACAGCAATTCAAGACCTCGAGTTTGACCCCTCATAATGGACTTGGCCCTCCGACAGAAACAGAGCTACTAAACCACCAATCCCAATTTCTGATTACACAGTTAAGCTAGGTTATAAAATGTTGGGTTAGGCCGACGCCCAGTCCAGACGGACCGGGCCAGAGGAACCGGGAGGGGTCCGTCCGGCAAAACCAGACGAGCCAAAAAATGTCCGAGGATTTTTTTTTTTTTTTTTTTTTTGAAGATG